TTGATTAATATGAAAATAAATAATGTATAATAATTACAGCTAAAACATAATATCAAACATTGTCAAGAAACTCTTACTTATATTAATGAATAAAAGTGTGTAATTTTAAGAATATTGTGTGCATAACATTTTTTTTTTTTTTTTTTTTTTTTATAGATTTTAAATAAATCATTTAAAATACTATTATCTTGATTTAATTGCAATTATTCATAAATCTTTTAAATTGATATATTTTTTATTTCATCCGTGCCAATAGCTTTAAATTATTTACTATTTCACAAGAATAATATTTGCCATTAATTAATTTTACTTAAAATAAATTGACATTCTAAATTCATATACATAAGTCAATTACTATAAATACCATTGCTACTTAATTCTATTATATTTATTCTATACATTTTTAATATTTGACTGAATATTTTTGTTAAAAGCATTAAAGCCTTTAAAGAAATTTCATTTACATTTATATGGGCTTTCAATGCCAGTGATAGCATATTTCTGTTATAATCAGTTAAGAAATAAGATTTGCATATTATACAATATCTCATGTACGAACGTATTTTCAAATAATATTTTTCGATTATGAAAATATTAATACGTAAATTACAAAATATGTATATATAATAAAAAAATCTATTTCTTAGTATTTTTTTTTTTAATTATAAAATATCTTAATGAAAAAATGTATTTCATTTTATAATATATATATATATATATATTTAATTATTTATTTATTTATATACTTACATTACGTAAGAACGCATAAGGAACAGCAATGGTGCACAGATACTTTTCATGTGTATTGGTGCTCCTTCCCGAAATTTGCTCAATTCTATGTTTACACTCGGTTTTTGTTATAATCCTCAGACGAACGGTCTTCATGAATCTAGAAATTTTATTATTTATCATTTTGCCCCATCCTACTGTAACGACATCGGATCCATACAAAGCATCGATCGATAAAGGCGAAAGAACAACTGGAGTTATTTCGTTCGGTAAGTCTCCAAGAACCTGAATATTAAGATTCAAGTATATAATTATTTTAAAAAAGTACTAATTAAAACTCAATTAGATATCAATATTCATAATGTACGAGAAAATTTACAATGGAATTCATAAAGTTAATTGTTATATATATATATATATATATATATATATATATATATATATATATATAGATTTATTTTTTTATTCATGTATACATTTTATATTTTTAATAGAAGAAAATAAATATTTCTTAACGATTTACCTCAATTATACTAATATCGTTTATTTCCAAATTAGTCGCCGTGTCATTTTTTGTAAACCACTGATTGTATGTCGTTATTTTTGAAATATTAAACTTATTATTCGATCTTAAGTCGATAGATCCGACAATTAATTCAATTCTTGTTAATGGAATTACATCCAGATAGTGTGCAATTGTTACGATATGTTGTTTTGAAATTACTGTTCCTGTGCATCCATGATCGTTTTCCGATTCATTATTTGCATTATTAATTTGCTTAATAGATACAACAAATGGAAATTCATTCAATAATGATGTTCTGACATTTTCTCCGATCATTGCATTTGCAAATTCAAATTTCCTATCTAAATATTAACATTTTCATTTGAAAATTATTATTTACCTATTGAATATAATTTGTTATTTTGTATATTACAATTAAATATTAATAAAAATTGTTGCTACTTACAAAATAAGTATTGACTAATGAGGCAAGATATTATAAACCACATACTAAAAACGAAATAGAATGAACAAAATTTTAAAAAAGACGTATTATATTGTTATTGTAATAATTTCTATAATAGAAACTTTGTAAAAGTTCTTTCGCAGATATGAATTTTAAAATTTATAAATCTATTATATACTGCTTTATAATTTTTACGACAATAATAAAAAAGATATTTAAATTGACTTTCTTTGATTAAGTTATTGTCTACATCAATATTTAAAAGAACATATTGTTTGCATTTGACTTTAATTTATCATGGCTTTTTTTCTACTATTACCTAATTAAAATAACAATGTATTATATTTCAATATTACATATTCACTTAATAAAAAGATATTTTAATTATTTTTTTGGTTTCGTTTTGTTTTTAATAAAAAACAATTTTAAGATATCTGTAGAAATTATTAAGAAAATTAAGTTAGAAAAGCAATATAAGGTATATAAAAAAAAGTCTATGATTGTAGATATATTGACAATATAAAATCCAACACAAAATAATTATTTAAATGTTAAAAAATTATTCGTAAATACCAAGTCCTTAGCAATATAATACTTTATCAAGATTTTTTTTTTTAAATATTTTATCGACAAATTATTTTACTTCTATTATAAATAATCAACTATTTATTTATTTGCAACAACAAAATTGTTAAATATATATATATATATTTTTTTTTTCTTTTCTTATCACAATAAATACGAAAAATAATAATATTATTAAAAATAAATCTTAATGAGAATGCAAAGAAATACGTTTATTGAGAATCCATTGCAAATAGCCTTAGTAATTTGTTATGTGTGAAATAAAATCCAATATATATTCAACATACATTCAATTTTATTTTACAATTTATTATTTTATTTATTTGAACAGTAAATTATTATCGCCATTAAATACAATTGGCCTTAATTTTATTGTAATGATATTAACTTACTTAAACAAAATAATAAAAAATATAGCTTTCAGATGAAATGAAGAAAGAAAATATAATAATCATAGCGTCGTACTAACTCCTACTTTTATGCCTTATTTTGCATTAAACCCCTCTACAAGCATATCTTCCGCAAATTTTCCATCACTTTATCGCTTTTCATATAGCTATTCAATTTACTTAGGCAACCTCACAACAGTAACAAATTATCATTCATTAAATTATTATTAATCATTTAAAATTATTTTAACATCTGACGGAATTTTTTATTATTTGCTTCAATTTATATAATTTATTTGTTCGTTGTTTTTACTTTTATAATAAATTTGCAATAAACTTTATTGAGAATGTCGATATCATAAAAACATTCAATACTTATTTCTTCGTAAAAATTGTATTTGTACGTTAAATATATTGATACGTTCAATTTTTGTTTTCTTTTATACTAAATTGGTTATAAAACTTCGAACTTATTTCAAATATTTCAATTATCTATTTAGTATAAACAATATCATCTATCTCATTTTATGCAGAAGAACTGTCTATAATATCTTTATAAATTATTTATAAAATACTACAAATTACTTTTAATAAAGTTCTCTTTTCATAAACATATTTCATCATTTAGTAAATATTTATCCTATATATTATTTCTTTATTTGTGAAAATTTATTTGTTATTATTATTATTACATTATAAATATATATATATATATATATAATTATGTATAAAAATCGGTAAAAATATTATTTATTATAGAATTGATTTGATAAAACACGATTTTTTTATATTGAGTTTTCAATATTTATTTCAGTTGCAAATTTAACTATTAGTTGACAAAATTCATTGTCTCTGTTATTCTTTATTTTACTCTGTGTATATAGAAAATTTAGAATCGTAGGCAGAATATTTTTAGTCGGTACTTTATTTTATTGCTGGTTACTCATCTTCGGTATTATATTTAGTAATTATCGTATCCATTAATACATATTACCTACAATGTAAGGCCATCACTTTATTAATTATGCACATTATTCCCACTTTTAATAATTAATATATTATAAATTTTTTCAATTTCTTAGCCGTTCTTATATCATTGAATGTAATGAAATAGAATTAGATAAAATGTATTAATATATTATTTTGTAGTACTAATTCTAGTTATTACTAATTCCAGCTCTAATTCTAAAGATATACATATATATATATATATATTATTACTTAATATACTTTGTATAATTACTTACGTGATAATAGATCAATCACCTACTATAATATATATTTCATTATATTTAATTCCATATATTCTTAAAGCTTATATTGATCTTTCTAACTGACTAAATTTTTATAGATAAATTAGAAAGATTGTATTACTTAAGCCATGATAAAATATTTATACAATATTAAACGTGACATGTAATATAGTCAAAATATTATTAATCGTTTTAATAATTAAAAAAATTAAAAACAACTATTATTACTTTTCAAAAATCCTCCTAAATTACATGTGCAAAATGATAAATTAATTGGTAAACAATGCCAATTAATTTTATATATATTATTCTTTTTCATGTAAAGAAAATTTGATAAAATAATATAATTTTAATGAAATATTGCTTAATATTTCTTATATTAGTTAATAATAATATTAAATCAATTAAATTATATATAAGAAAGAATTCGTGGGAAGAATTTAGCAAAATATTCTTTAGTTTAAGATTAATTATGAGTACCACTATTATTTTTGTACATTATTTATATTTATATAAATATATACTACCACGATAGAAAATTTTTAAGATTAATGTTTAAGAATATTATTATCGCCGTTTACTATCTACCTTTTTGATAAAAGGTAAAATATATATATATATTTCAAATGTTAATATATATTATTTTATTACTATTAATTTTATAATCTATAGCTATGTTAGTAGAAGCTGATTTATAATGAAAATTTGAAAATGATTCAAGCGGTACATTTGAAAAATAATCTAAATTATAAAATAATAATGCCAAGATTATTATTATGATATTCGATGACATATTTTTGAAAAATTGTTTGACATTAGTTTTTAAATATAATTATATATTTTATCATATTATTAACTAAATTAAGTATTTAAATTTATAATGTATAATTTAACGGTAATAGTTTTTATTTGATTATATATATATATATATAAATAACATTGATTTATTGAATTGATTTATCCAATTGATTTATTAAATTATCTACCATATCAAAACATTATAATAAATTAAAAGTCTTAATATAATTTATTTATATTTCGAAGACATACACAAGATTATTATATTAATGCAATTAAAGAGTATTGATAGTATCTACAATAAAGTGCCTATAATAATCGATTTTCAAATGAAGATTGACTGTTTTTGGGAGAAAGTTGTCATCTGAAACTGGGTATGACTCTTTATTTATTCCTATAAGTTCACCGGCAAATAATAATGGACCTCCACTGTCACCCTGAAAGGTAATGTAGGCGAAAATAAGTTAAATTTAATTTATATAAAATATGTATATATAAATATATATATATATATATATATATATATATATATATATAATAAAAACTAGTAAATCCTATAAATTCTTGGTAAATAAATTAAAATTTTTAATTATTTGAACTTTTATATTACTAAATAGATATAAAAATACTATTAACTACTAATACTATAAAAACACTATTCATTTTAATATAATAAATCCTATCTACTTTATTGAATATAATATTAAATTATAAATTTTTAAGAATTTACTTTTTTAATTTAATAATTTAATTAAATAAAGTATTTATAACAAATTTATAGTGACACTACAATATTTTCTAATTATGTTATTACTTTTACTAACTAATAACGATAACAATGAAGTTTGATACGATGCTTATATAAAACCTCAAATTCAATAAAAACCTTTAGTAGATAATTAAAAGTTATGTGGTAATTTTTTTTTTTTTTTTTTTTATTTGAAATTAATATTTATTTTCAAACAATTATTTATGTAAATATGCTTAAAATTTATTAAGAGCAGTTATAAATATTAAACTAATATCATTATCTTCGATAAAAATATATCCAAGAATTTAACCCTTTCATCTTTTTTTATTTTTCAGTATTTTGAATATAAATAAATTTTGAATATAAATACTCACATCACGTAGAAGTACCGATGGTGTTGAACTAGTGCACAAGAAATGTAAATGCATATCAGTTGGCATTTGTGTTAAATTCTCAATTTGATTTTTACACTTTTTTGGTTCTAAAAGCACTACTGAACTAGTTTGCAAAAATTGAGGATAATTGACGTTTGTCATACCCCACCCTGCAGTTATCACTTTATGTCTATACAAATTAGCGTAAGGCATAGGTGACATAATAACAGGCTGAATATTATTGGGTATTTGACCAGCCAACTAAAAAATTTTGTTTATATTAATATGGATACTAATAATTCGGTAAGAGAAAATTTGGCGATTGAAATAGGGGAGGGGGAATACGAGGATTCGGTAAGGGAAGGACGAAGTTGGTTAACCAGGGAAGTAAGAGAATACAATCGAGGATGAGAAGGAGAATAAAGAAGAGAGAGCGAAAGAGCATTAGAAAAGCATAAATTAAATATAAAACATACGTATATAGTCCCCCGTGCTTATAATATTATTAAAATAATTTTTGTTTAAAATAAAGGAGGTATTAAATTGTAAGAAATAAGAATAAAATAAAAATATACTTCATTTAAAAAAAAAAAAAAACATGCTACTAAAATTACATTTGATATTAAAAGATCATATTATTTGTTAAATAATAAATAAATTGTATAATAAATAATCACTAATAACCTTTAAAAGACAAATGTCATTCGTTGATTCCTGAACAGTTATGTGTTTAGTATATGCCCACATTAAAAACGATATTAACCTGGCAACTTTCAACCTCTGGGTACTCCTTATATCATTGGACCCAAAAATGACTTCCAGATTATGTACTGATACGCTTAGTACGCGTTGAGCAGCAGTTAAAACATACTGCGATGATATAATCGTTCCTGTACATAACAAATCTCCCGGGTAATTTGGATTTGTATTGTTGAAGCGCTTAATAGCTACAACAAATGGAAATTCGTTTGTCATTGCGTCTCTAACATTTCTTCCAATTAAAGCTTTGGAATGCACAAATTCATATTGATTGACTGAAAAATATAAATTATAATTATTATTCCAAATATTTTGTCAATAGTAAATGTAATACTATTTATATAAAAATAGTGTATTGTATAACTTACGAAATATCAATTGAATAAAAAGAAGAGAAATATGTAGCTTCATGCTGAAAAATCATAATCCGATGAATAGACTGTGTGTAACAAATAAATTAATATTATTATAATATATACTTAATATTAATAATACTTTAGTGGTTATAATTATAATATTAATATATTATATTTGTATAGATATATTTATTTATTTTATTTTATTTATTTATTTTATTTTATTTATATATTTAGTTTTATTTTTTTATTTAGTTTTATTTATTTATTTAATTTTATTAATTTATCTAGTTCTATTTATTTATTTAGTTGTATTTATTTATTTTTAGTATTATTATTTTTTTTTTAACAATTTAACATTATTTAAAAGGTGTATCATAAAACAGAAGTTAATATGTTTAAATATTAAAATTACTTTAAAACAAATAATGATGTGCCTTTATATAAGTTGGTTGCATAATATAACTCGTGTTTTAAAAACGTATAATTACCTTTCTAACGTAAGCATGATAATAATAATAATAATATTTATACTCTATGAACAAAATTATTTTCCTCTGACAATAAATTAACGAAGAAATAATGGGTTTCATAAAGAGAAGATATCATTTTTTGTGAAGCATTATTTTTTTTATTTAAGTCGCATTAAATTCCAGCTGATATTAAATAAATGTTTTTAATTATGTAAAATTCAACTTATATATAATATCGAAAAGTTATTACTGAATTTAATAATTGATACTAGTAGTATTCGCATTAAATGTACAAATTCTTATAATGTATCTACTTATTATTATTTATTTATCTTATTAAATGAATATCATTAAAGTTTATATCCTCCACCTAATATATACTAGATTAAGAGGTAAAAATTGATTATTAGTTAAACAAACTTTTTTTATCACCATATGTTTTGAATTAAATGGGATTAGCATATAATTAATATATGCTATTATCAGTACATAAGAAAACAAATTTATAAAAAAAAAAATAAATTAGATTATACAAATTTAACTGTAATTGGTATTATTATTATTATAAATAATTCTGCATGTGTGTGTATAGTGTCTCATTATATGTATGCGCGTGTTCATATATGTACGCGGGCTCCTATATAAATAGTAATTAATGATTTTAGTTTATTTATGATATAATACTTTTAAAGCGAATTTCTTATCACAAATAACAATGAAAACAAAACATTTGTTTTCTTATGTTGATTATAAAAAATAGGTTATCAGCAAACGACTTTTATCAGTCATATGATTTTGTAAGAATTCAAGATCCACTTTTTTCTCCATGACTAACATATCGTAAATAATTATTAATAGAGATTAAAATTAGTTACCAGCTATTATATTAATTGAATTCATAACTATCATTTTTTCTCATGGAAAATTTGTTAGAAATAAAGCAACATTTGAATCTATGTTTTGTGAGAGTTATAGCTATGAAACCATAAATCTATCTTTCGTTTATGATGTTAACCATTAATGATTATAAAAATAAACAATATATTCTAATATTTTTAGCATTTGCGGAGCCATATTCCTTATTTAAAACATTTTCTTTCAAAAGTTTGCTACATAACCATATTTTGCTCTATCGATCTATCCAATATATATTATAAAAAGCGTAAATCTTTTATATTATATTATTAAAAATATATGATAAATGAAAATTTATTTTAAGCTATTAAAAAAAAAAATTTTAAATTAGCATATAAATTATTATATAAAATTTATGATTACGCAAATCACATTTTAAAATTGTAATCACTAATGAAATATAATAAATATGAATAAATAAATTACCCTTTACAGTAATTAAAAATAGATCATACAGATATACATTTTATAAATGTATTTAACGTAATATTAAAGTATTTATATGCTGTTTGTCCGATAATTATCTCTTAATTTCATATATATATATATCTTCTAAAACACTTTATATAATACTTTATACACAATTGTTTTAATTTTATATTAAATAGAATACTGCACATTCATATTAATAAAAAATAGAAAATTTCGCTTTCTCATTTGTTAACACCAGAACTAAACAGTTAAATTTCCAGTTTTATAATGAAAATATTTTTTCAAATGAAATAAATTTCTGATTATAATGTCTAGTAATGATAAGTATAATGTCTAATTCTAACTACATTAATTATATAAAATATATAATAAATATAATTAAAATAAAGATTAATTATATAAAAATAAAATCTCAACTAATATTACATTTTGAGTTCACACATCAAATTAGTCCAAAATTCTATCACTTACCACCATTTTGCACAATGAAATCTCTGGTTAATGTTCATTTTTTATTATTAATACTATCTTTATATTAAATAATAAAATATTAAATAATTAAACAATCTTTAATTCAAATTTTTAATTTGCATGATTATAGGTTTTTACATGAAATTATATATTTAGGAGTTGTAACAATTATAATTATACTTTCAAACCCTTCAATACGATTAGTTATCGGGTGCACTAAACTATATAATACAAATAAATTAAATCTGATTAGCGTAATCTGTTTAACTCATAAACTGAATTCAAAACACTTAAATCATTAATTCTCCCATGTGTCTCTCGTTTTATATCACAACAGCTACACAGCTTTTTTATAATTTTTCAAACTAACTATACATTACATTGTTATTTTGATATTACTTAACTTTAATTTATTTAACAACTAGTTGTTTAACTAGGCAATATCAGCAATAAAATCTAATATTAACTAATTGATTAGAGTATGTAAATCTATTTCTTAGATTAAATACAAAGCAAATATAGGAGTATTTAATAATTGATGAAGAATTCAAGAACTTAATATATTCTCACTATACTAGGTTAATAAAATATTTGTACTAATAAAATATTTGTAAGGTATAATGAAAGAAGGTTCTGTTTGATTTTAAGAAAAAAAAATTTATTATTTAAATAGACGATGATAATTTACATTATTTGTAGTACAATTAAGTTTATTAACCATTTTTTTAAAGCATTTAGAATTACATTAATTATAACTATAACTCATAGCTACAATTAAATACAATATCTAGTATAAATTTTTTATAGTAAGTAGTTGAAACATGAATGTTTACTTTTTGTGGATTAAATTGATCTTCGCGCAATGGAGCTGAAGCCTTATTAATACCTACAAGCTTACCATTCAATAACAGCGGACCACCACTATCACCCTATTAAAAGCAATTTTATATATATATATATATATATATATATATATATATATATATATATATATATATAAATTATAAATCATGTAGATAAAGAAATATCAACTGTTTACATTTTATGTGTATAATAATATTCAACGAATTGTTAAATAGAATTTAGGAAAATATTTTTCGTTACATTATAGAATACCCCTTTGATAACGATATTAACAAACAATCTTTATATAATTCATCTATAAAAATCGAAATACTTTATACATATTTTTAAAACGTAACATTTACAACTAATGAATTTTATGCATTTTGAAAATTATTTGTGCAGCAAAGAAATCTATAAAAAATTACAAATCTTCATTGGATGAGATGAAAAAATAAATGATTGTTACTCAATTTTGGTGCATTGCGTTTTATGGAATATCGATGATGAAATTATTATTGCAATTATCTATAATTTATCATCTGAATGTATATAAAATTTTAATGAAATTGATGAATATCCGAACCTTTATATTATATCAATACGAAAATATCGTAGAATTTCAAATAGAAATATTAGGTTTATAAGATGATTAAAAGAAAATTAATTCTCACGCAAAATAAAATGAAAGGGTAAATTTGTATTTGTATTGTAAAACCATTTGATAATTATTATTAAATTTTCACATTAGCAGAAATACAAATGAAATAATTGATCAATGATTGTTCTGAATTTAAAAAAATCTTAATATAAATAAATAGATTATATATTTAAAAGAATATATGCGTATGTACTAACCTTACGTAAAAATGCAAACGGTTGCGCAGCGGTGCAAACGTATTTCGGATTTAAAAAGAACCTTTTTTTTGTCAATTTATCAATCCTTGTTTTGCACTCATTAGCCGACAAGACTTTCAAACTTACAGTTTCCAAATATCTACTTTTTTTACCAGTAATTGTCCTGCCCCACCCCACTGTCACGACGTTTTGTCCATACAAATTACTTACTGGTGTAAAATTCAGAATTGCCGGTGCGATTGTCGAAGATATTGCTTTACATATCTAAAACAGCATATTAAAAGCCAGATAATTTACACTTGAAAAATGATTTTATGAAATACAAATATAAGTAATACTTTTTTCTCATTTGTCAAATAATTCTTATAAAACAGTTAAAAGAATCTCGATAATTTAGTCTTTATATATAGATATATACAACTAACATATTTGGTCTATAAATTACAAATAAAATATCACGTGAACAATTAAGTACCTTTAGAACAGCAATATCGTTATCGGTTTGTATTAAAGCTTTGTTATTATTTTTAGCCCACGAATTGTAAGTTATAAATTCGTTAGGTTGGTATTTTGTACCCTGTCTTATATCAACTGATCCAACAATTACTTCAATTTTTATCATTAAAACACCATCGAGACAATGAGCTACGGTTAAAATATCTTTTGGCGAAAGAATTATTCCTGCGCATCCATGATCACTTTCTGGTTCACGGTTCAGATTATTTATAACCTTAATAGATACAATATATGGAAATTCTTGATCTACTGCTCGTCTTACATTTTCTCCTACCATGGCTTTGTTATCTATAATTCGTATCAATTAAAAGACTTGAGTTTTAATTAAATAATATAGCACGCTACAATAATGTTAACTGTAATCAATTATTTTTTATATAAATTAGTTTTAAAAATGTAGCAGTTTCTTATTGGTACTTACAAAATATATTTTGAATAAACAGAAAACAAATTGTTAGTCGCATACTGAATAAATAGATGAAAAATACGATTAATTTATAGATGTAAAAATTCTTACAATATAATTTTGTATTATGGTAAATGATAAAAAATCAAGTTAATTGCGAACTTCATATAAAATTTCACTTAATTTCAAATACCTTATATAGTTTTTTGTATCGGTAAAAATAAATTAAGTTTAGCTTTGATATACTGTGTTATCATATTTTAAATAATATTGACAGTTTTTTCTACTTATAAATGAAATCTTATAAAATACAAATACTAAATTACATTTATTGATTTTGTATCGATAATTATAAATTTCCTCATTATAGTATCTATTACTATAAATATATTATAAATTTTTAATCTTATAATTCTTATAGTTCTGAATATTAATTACGATTACTTTGACTTTTCCAGCAAATCATAAATATGTAATTTAAAATAATGCTTTCATTATTTTGTCTTATATAATCAACTAAATAAATATTAAAATTGTTTATATTCTTTTTCTCTCTATTTATCATTATAAAATATTGCTATTTTACAAACAATTCTTACAATTTATTTTGTAAGGGATTAATCTTTGTACAATATTTTTAGTAATATTTTCCAAATTACTTATTTTTTAAATTAAAATTAATTATCAATAAATAATATATTTAATAAAAATGAATTATTACTTTTAATTTATAATGTATAATAACTGAAAGGCCATGCCAACATATAAACAAACAAATTAGCAAATAGTTTATTAAAATAGTTGAATGAAGTTATGGACATGAAAAATATTTTACAAATTCATACGAGTTTACTAGAAGTTGACTAGAAACTAGTTGACTAGTTGACTAGAAGAGATAACATAAAGCAGTTTTTTCTCTCTATTATTCAATATCACTGTTATATAATAATTGTGAGACTTACAATACAGTTTAGTATTTCAATTTGGTTTTATACATACATATATATATATATATATATATATATATATATATAAAATAATGAAAAGTAGAGTTAAATATACTTTATTTACATTCAAATTTAACGATTTCGATAACTTAACCTGTGTATTTGGTTAATTTTGAGTCACTTTTATAACAATTTACTTCAAAATATAAATAACATTTGTATTTATTTCTAAAAAGAAAAAAAAATTATATATCAATTAATAACTTTCTTTTACTTCTTTTATTCATTATAGATATAGTCGAAATAATAGGGAAGGCAATTTTCTGTAAATTCCTCAAATAATTTTTGTTTTTTTTTTTTTTAGCACTACGACATTTACTTAGAGAATATGCTCGATCGAATATTTTTAATAATAAATGCTTTAACTACTTTAAAGTATTATAGTATATTAAACTTAGTCATACTTTTTCAATATTCAATGAAATATTTTTAATTTAAAAAATACATATTTTTATACGTATTGGTACTAATGTAATATTAATTCATACACTCTATATTGAATATTTATTATTTGAATAATAAAACAATATAAAAAAAATTAAATATAAAAATTACATGAGTACTTTAATTCCGCTTTTTTTTTTTTTTTTTTTTTATAAACATTCTTCTTATAATTTCACAGGAAATTTTTTTAAAATACATTTAATTATCGCTTATTAAAAAAAAAAAAAAAAAAAAAAAAAAAATTATGAATCAAATAAATTATATTCACTTATATAATCATCTCAGACATAAGTTAATTCTTATTCCAGATAGCATTATTTATGTTTGTAAAATATGTATTCTAAAATATATTCTGAAAATTTTACATCGATGAAATAACATACATAGAATTAAAATAAAGTAGTATGTTTTTTACATAAGGGAGACGTGTGTTTGATAAATGGATCGTGTATTTATTTAACCGAAAGCAAAGCTGATATAAGATGTAACTTTACATTTTAATTGACATAAATTTTAATATCAATTATATTTATATTACCAAAAAAATCTAGATCACATTTACTTTCTTTTTATTTTTTAAGAAAATAGCTGAAAATATTAAAGATACGATTACTACTAATTTTAATAAATTATCCACTTATATGAACTGCGTTCGCACGTCGTTGTGCTAAAAAATTTGTTTAATAGCTTCGTAATTTAGATACTTATATCGTCATTACTTTGAAGAAAGATGCTTTCATTTTTCTTTCTCATATCTTACATTTGAAGTTTCATTTTATATGTAAAATCCCAATTATAAAAAATATATGTATAAAATATATTTTAAACATGCAACTGTCTGTAACTGTAGTACGTGACCGTATGTGTAGTATAGTATAGCCTTGTAATTAGGTATGCGAACATTAAAATACGTTGAATATCATACAAGTCATTAAAAAAAATTTCATTTCATTTACATTATGAAAAAAAATTTTTACCAAGCTTATATATTCAATAATAGAGTTTAAGTTGTTTTTTAATCATCACAATATATATATATATATATATATATATATATATATATATATTTAAAAAGTCTACATATAATGTTTTAATGCTTATAAAATATGATTTATATATTATAAATTTATATATTTTTGACTTGTGTTAATTTTTGACGATTTTACTAATAATATTTAGAATATTTAGTAATAATTTGTTAACTGGACATACAAGATTCTATTTACTCGATAACACTCGAATTGCTGCATTATCATTGATGCGCGCGACAAAAGAACTCGCACAATAACAATTTACCAAATTGATTATATTCTCGCTCGTGTCATCTGCAAGTTTAGACCCAACAACTGACTTTTTTACGATATGGGCAATAAATTGAAAGCGACCGCGATAGATCATGACTTAATCATTAGAAATTGGACTTTTTCAAGTCCGCACGAAAGAGTTTTACGAGACTTTCCTCCCCAAACTAAAAGAAAATACCGAGCTTTTGGTATTCTGTTCTAATTTAGTTCTTCTTTTTTACGATACGATATCTCTCCCGAGTTCAAGGTAACGCCGCTGAGGAAATTTGCACTACTCCGAAGCTTTTCGCCCGTCGCCTTTTTTTGCAGCCTTTACTACTATTATAGCGGACGATGCGAAGAGATGCAAAGTTCTCTTCTTCTTTTATCTTTCTTGTTTTTTTATTATTGTTTTGTTTCTTAGAAAATTAACGGCGATCTCGTACTCTAAGAGTACCTTTAATTTTATTTATTTATATTATTTTTTTTTTTGTATTGATTTATGTTTTTTATACTACAAAGAAGAAAAAAAGGTTACCATTTGTGAATATATCATAACTGACAGTTATTAGAATAAAAATAATTCAGTATGAAAAATAATGACACATAACATTTAAAACAATTTACGGATATCTGACCGAATGCTATTGCTGACGAAATTCCGTATTGCTATTAATACGATTCTATATTAGTTCCCAAACAAAATTTACGACAATATACATAATATTAATGAATATGGATATTGGTTATAGTATTCGTAAACGATTATTTTCCAATGTTCCCATGAATAAGAATAATAATATAATAATTGTAAATTAACGTGAAACTTTTATAGTATTAAAATTAATACCAAAGCTTAAGTGTCGTTGTTCCCATTTCTAAATTGTACATGCATAAATCATATAATCCTTCGGTTGTCTATACAAAATTTCGTACCTCACCAATAGAAACCTTCATAACTGGCCAAAAGCTTAAATATAATGACAAACGTCGAAAAACATTCGTTTTCGAGCTTCTGGAAAAAGCACTTAAAGCGTCTTTCAAGCTAGTTTCTTCAATGAAGAACAGGCGGGAAAGTCATCAGTTAGACGAATGCCCCCGTCGAGGTACAACGAAACACATAATAGATGCCGTAGCAGTGCCGAAAGAATTTCCCAACAATTTGAACAACTCGCGTTCGCCATTAAATATTAGAGTGAAGCGAGAGGGGTTGGATCGTCCGAGCCGACGAGAAGGACGAGAAAAAGTAATGGCGAGAGGGAGAAGAGGAGAAACAGAAATATGAATGAAGAATAAGTCAGAGATCGATAAATAAGACTTAAGCAGATGAAAAATGAAGGATCGAGTTGTGCGAGTGCGTGCGATTACAAAAAGAAAAAGAGCGGATCCAGAATGTGAAGAGTGGCCATCTGCCCAGTGGAGGATTGTTCCTCGGACGCTGGCCGGTGCATCGGTGCGTACACCCTCGTTGCGTTATGCGCGCGCGGCTTTTCCCAAAATTCGGGTCAACCGGTATATACCTCCGGCTTAATGATCTCCGATTTCCCGGTGAGTTAAGGAGGTCCGTTGCGTACGGGAGGTCGTAAAAAGATCGCGCGACTTTTCACCGTCCAAAGGACAGTCAGTCCCTTTCTCGTCCACCTTCTTCTCCTCCTCGTCTTCGCTTAATTTTGTATCAGTCGGGCATGGGCTCAAATTTTACGGCTCACGTGGCTAAAATGAAGAGACTCGACGCGTCTCCAGGATAATGAAACGTCAGGCACTTAACAAAGCGTTTAATGGCACGGCCGATACCGATAACGTTCCAAGTATTCCACGACTTTTAATTACAATTGCAAATTAGCATGGGAGGATACAGGAAACTGCACAACAGTGCACCGCTAGAAAAGCGAATATCCATCTTAGTATGAAAATTTGACAATGCGTAACGGTAAAATTACATCGTTCGGAGGTTGAATAAAATTTTACTAGCTCGTCCCGTTCAATAAGCAGCGAAATAAGACGAGAGAGAAATGATCGATTACAGGCCAAAAGTTGCACGCTAACACACTTTACATGCTCGTACGCACATATACGTTACACACGCTCACATGTATATATATATATATATATGAAGAGAAATATGAAATCGTGTACCGAGTTCAATGCGCAGTTAGTAACGCTGGCCCAATGACACACAATTGCAAACAGCTCGTCAGACGCGCGTAATCGCCATTACCTGCGGCAGCATAGCGGCAATGTCCCCCGGCACCTCATTAGCATCGGCTAGCGAAAAATCGACAAGATCGCTCACTCGGCGCGTGAAAACGAAGGTGAAAGCGCTCGACCCGCGCTCAAAATTAATGGACTTCCTCCCAGGGGAGTCGTCGGCCAACAATACTAC